AATGCAGGTCCCATGGCTCCAACCCAGATCTACTGTATGAAATTATCTGGTAGATTTGATCTTGATCATTTTTCCAAGTTCCATGTGCTGCAAGGGTTGTCAACTACCGGATTTTGCTGAAATAGCCGTCAATCAAACAATGAATCAGAATGTACTGAAACTACAACACAAATAAATGTGTAGGTTGGAAACCTAAGAATACTTTTTAAAAGTTCCCTGTTTATGTATTATTTGAAAAACATTGCCATAGGAGAGGCACTATTCCCTTAGCCTCTTGATCATATCTCCTTAATGTGTTTGGCCTCACTATTTAATAATCCCTTGAGCTATAATGAAACAGGCACTGACAAAAGAACATAACCGGTTCAAATTACGGCCATAGCATATAATATCCATTTATTTTCAGGTTTATTATGCACATCTGTTAAAATATCCAGGGCTATTCCCACTTATTCAAATAGGAATAAAAACTCTTCAATATCAATTTACATTATTTATTTTGAAGCAAATTTGTAGGTCTGTTCTTTTCTTCAATAAAAATCAAACATATATCATACCAAAAAAAGATACTTCTAAAAAATTAGCACCAATCTATACACAGCGTCAATTTTCCTAAACAAAGTATTTTATAACTACTATACCTAGATTTAGGTATTTTTATGCCATTACCACTTTCCCATAAAAACAAAGTTTACTCTAGAAACTGCAGTTTTATTTTATTTTTTTTTATCCTCACCCGAGGATATTTTTCCATTTTTTGTACAGATAGAGTGGGAGGGAGAGAGAGGAAGGAGAGAGAGAGAGAGAAACATCGACGTGAAGGAACACATCGAGTGGCTGCCACCCACCCGACCAACCAGGGCCGGGGACAAACTGCAACTGAAGTACGTGCCCTTAGCGGGAACCGAACCCGGATCTCTCCGGACCGCAGGCCGACACTCTAACCGCTGAGCCAAACCGGCCAGGGCTAGAAACTGCAGTTTTAAAAGATCTAATTAAAATCTCCGCTCCACTCCAATCCAGATTAAATCCACAAATAAAAGCTGGGACACTGCAATATTTCAATGTTTAAACTACTTTAATCAACAGTAAGGTGAGCAAACTAACATGAAGACAATCACAAGATAGAATGGCCTCTTGTGATGTGTCCAAAAGATATAAAACTGTGGCAAGTAGAAAATTTCAATCTAGTATAAACAGTACCTAGAAAATTATTCAAATACATTCTAAACTACAATAAAGGTAAACTTAAATGTAATGAAGGCACAGCATAAAAATAGACACTGTTATGGAAGTAAAAAAATATGTTATGCTACAGGAGTAGAAAATAACATGTTCATTTTATAATTACTAGAGCTATTATCAAAGAGCTTGACTTTCTGAAATGAGAAATAAGGTATAAAATAAAAATGACAACTTCTAAGTAATGAGATGCTGACATATCCTTGAAACTTTTAAAAATATATTCACATGTATGTCATAAAATCATGATAAAGTTAAAGGCTAACAAATAAAGAATGACCAAACATGATGTGTGCTTCCCTCATCTTTTGCTATATTTTTAAAAAGTATTATTCAAAGAAACAAAATATGGAAATCAGTATTTTATTTTATACTTCAAAGCCTATACTATTAGTTGTTCTAGAATATTTCTAATACAAATATTAGAAAGAAATAACAGGTGGCATCTTAAAACAAACCAAGTAAATCTATTTCACTCTTATTGCATGGGCAAGCTGAACACTTACCATTTGACTCCTCCCTTTAAACTGAACAGTGAAAAAGAAAGCACATAAGAGGGCCTAATTTCAAGGCTTTTAAGAACAAAAACAAACATTAAAATTGTTTAACAATTTTTCCAAAACCAGTTTTCAAGGTAAACATAAAATTACTGAAACAAGTGTCTCAATGTTTACTTCATTAAAATCAAAATAATCCAGACCTATAGAGCTTTTGTTAATATTTCTTTAGAACTTGATAAGTGTATATTAACAAGCATCATGAAGCTAGGAGTTAAATAAAACTCACACCAATTGTGTCTATTCATAATTTCTAAACTCAGATAGATCTAAAAATAGAACAAAGACTATCTTCACCCAAAGATTTAATTCTTTGTTACATATTATTCTAAATATGGTTACTCTTCAAATAAAATTAAGAACACAGAAACGTTTAGCCTTACATAAGTAATAATTAAAAAAAAAAAAAATCAACACTCCAGCCCAGGATTCAGCAAACTTTTTCTGTAAAGGGTCAAAGAGTAAATATTTTAGGTTTTGTGGTAGAAGCTACTCTCTAATATCTTTTCCCCACCATCTGTCAACACTTTAAAAATGTAAACACCATTCTTAGCTCTGCAGTAGGGTGGAACAATAAATAATCTACTTTTGAAATGCCAATAAATCCAACGAGTATATAAATATCAAATTTATTTATTCACAAACTTCATTATATATTTGTAAACTTTTGCCCACCATTAATATGCATTTTAGGGCCCAGCTGGTGTGGCTCAGTGGAAGAACATCGACCCATCAAACCAACAGGTTGCTTGTTTGATGACCTGTCAAGGCACATGCCCAGGTTGTGGGCCCAATCCCCAGTGATGGGCATGCAGGAGTTGGCCAATCGATGTTCTCTCTCATTGATGTTTCTATCTCTCTCTCCCACTCCTTTCCTCTCTCTCTAAAAATCAACAACAAAAAAATTTTTAATAAATTTTAGGCCCTGGCCAGTTAGTTCAGTGAGTTAGAGCATCATCCCAATACACTGAGGTTGTGGGGCTCTATCCCCAGTCAGAGAAAACCCAAGAAACCACCAATGAATGCACAAATAAGGGAACAACAAAGCGATGTTTCTGTCTGCTTCTGTCCCCCTTCATCTCTCCAAACTCAATAAAAAATAAAATAAAATAAAATACATTATAAACATACCAATGGTTTCAAATTAAAGTAAGACTATGTAGTATTTCAATTTTAAATTGTAGAAACATTTCCAAATAGTTTGTTTTCAAATATGTTTCAATGATTTTTAGATAGAGAGGAAGGGGGAGAGAGAAATATCGATTGGCTGTTCCTGCATGCCCCCCTACTAAAGATCGATCCAGCAAACTGGGATGTTCCCTAACTAGGAATCAAACCAGTGACCTCTTGGTGCATGGGACAATTGCTCAATCCACTGAGCAACACCAGCCAGGCCCAAATAGTGTTTTAATAGAAAAGTAAAATTAAAACTATCCATTCTTCATTAATTTTTCTTATATTAAATGCCAATGAACATATGAAAACACTGGTATGTTTTAAAAAACTGAAATGATTTCAAACAATAGTCTGCAATCAAGTTTAACATCAGGATACATTTTAATCATTTCCTTCTAGACCCCTAAATGATTTATGTATATGACATTATCACAAGTAGCTATATGTCTGCTCCAAGGATGTAAAGTTTAAGCCAGAAAAATATTAAGAATGATAATTCCACCAATTTTGCTATAAACAAGCACACTGGTAAAAGAAAAGTTCAGACACATAAAACGAATAGGAAGAATTTCCTAATCCTCAATGGAACAACAAAAAAAGTTTAGCAAAGAAATAGATCACGTGATTTACATCTTGGCTATATTTGAAGAGAAAAAACACTAGCAACAATTTTTCAAAACTGAGCTTGAAAATTTAAATTCCACTTTCTTTCATAACATCAGAAAATAACCTCACATTGATAAATCCAACAGATTTATATTCAAATATAACAACCAAAAAACCTAAAGCAGTTTAAAATATGTCATTAAGCAAGTGCTATGCACTTAAGGAGAAAAAAGAATTGTGAAGTGTTAGAAAACACTCAAAAAATTTTTACAATGCTTAAAAAATCTACTCAACTAATGTTGGTGATTAATTAAAAACCAATTAAATTAAATTTTTTATGACTTACAAACTTTTTTTATTCTGACCCAAGGAGATGATTTTAGTGATTTGAGAGAGAGGAAGACAAATAGAAACATCGATCAGTTGCTTTCTGTAAGTGCCCCAACCAGAAATCAAACCGGCAACCTTTTGGTGCACAGGATGATGCTAAATCAACTGAGCCACTCAGGCCAAGCTCATATGACTTATAAATAAAAACATTTCTAATTGAACTTGAACGCCACGTAATTTTCATTCAGAGGATAGTTACTTGATGAGAGGTAAGATAAAAATTTCACGTTGCTATACAAGTTAGAATTTCTTTTATAGTGTCTACATTCTTTCAAACAAGAAAGTTTTAAAATGTTCTAAGGACAGCTTTGGCCAGTGTGCCTCAGATGGCTGAGTGTCATTCTGAACACAAGAAGCTCACTGCTTCGATTCCCAATCAGGGCACACACCTAGGTTTCGGGTTCGATCACCAGTTGGGGTGTGTGCAGGAGGCAACCAATCAATGTTTTTCTCACTATCCCTCTCTCTCTAAAAATCAATAAAAATACATCCTCAGGTAAGGATTTTTTCAAATGTCCTTATCATTTAGAAATACATATGAAAATACTGATGATTAAAATCATATGATGTCAGGAATTTCACACAAAATAATTTGGGAAAGTGGATATACTTAAAGATGAAGAAAAAGATCAGCCATGTGTTAGTAACTATTATGGTTGGGTGATGACCACATATGAATGTTTTATGCCTAAAATCTTCCAAAACAAAGAATTTTTAATATCGGTAAATGGTTAAAAATCAGTCAAGTGGAGATGGATTTTTGAAGATTTCAAATTTAGTAACATGTATTATTAAAAAATAAAGAAAAATTAACATCTATTTCATAAAACATAAATATTACCTTCAGAAACTTATTCTCATTTACTACCTGAAAGTGGTTTAAAAAAATCATTTAACATGAACAAACATGAAAAATTCAGGAAGGTTAGAAAATACACTAGGTATATAAAACAATACCTAAAGAATTTTAAACATACACTGTCCACCTGATAACAAAAAATAATTTTAATTGACTAGTATTTTACTTACATTTTCCATATAATTTGGCTTAAAGCCTTCTTGCTGTCTTCTCAGTTCTTCCTGTTCTCTGTGTCGAATCATTTCTTCCTCACGACGACGATGCTCTTCTTCATGTCTAAAAGATGTTTAAATAAAAACTTCAGCATGATTGCTTTCTAAGCCATACTCAGGTATTTTATTTCAAGTTAAACAAAATCATTTTGGAAAGTTACATTATCTCAAATCTGTCAACAATGGCTGCGGTAGCAGATATATCTTCCTTCTTCTACTTTGCTCAAAACCTTTACAAATCAAATAAACCAAAGAAATAAAGTAACTGAATTAGGATAAATCCAAAAAAAAGTAACAATATATAACCAGGACAGTTAAAAAATTAGAGGAAAAAAAAAAGAGTCTAAAAACTCAAATATGCACTCTATTACTTTTATTAAAGAAAAGCTTGAGCTCCATCACTACCACAGCAACGTTCTCAAAGGCACAGAATCTACCCCTATGCAAGCCACTGCAAAGGACCACACCACCTAAACAAGAATTCTAGTATGGATAGGAGGTCTTAACAAACCCTTCTACGTCCATTTCAACAACCCCAAGAAATTCACCTGGAGTAAGGGTCGGCATACCCCAGCTTTTGTAAATTAAGTTTTATAGAACAAACATTTACTTACTGCCTATGGCTACCTTTGTGCTAAGCAGTTGAGTCAGACCATATGACTTGCAAAGCCTAAAATAGTATTTGCTATCTAGCCCTATTCCAAAAAAACAGTTTGTCAGCCACTGTCCTAGAAGTATATTCATGCATTAAGGGAGAAAAAAAATCAAATTATATATATGTTCAGGATTACTATTAAAACAGTAATTAGTTATAATATGATTAAGAGAAAAAAACCTACAAAATAATATTAAAGTAATAGACTCGCATTATATTGGCATTTAAATCAAACTATAATACACATGCACTCCACCCCAAAACAAGTAATTTAAATAGTAAAGACTATATAATGCAGCCCTGGCCTGTATTGCACAGTGGTTAGAGCATTGGCCTGCGATCCAGAGACCCGGGTTCAGTTTCCACAAGGGCACGTACCTCAGTTTCAGTTTGTCCCCAGCCCGGGGTGGGGTCATGCGGGAGGCAGCCACTTGATGTGTCCCTTTCATATCGATGTTTCTCTCCCTCTCTCTCTTCCTCTCTCTCCCTCCCACTCTACCTGAACAAAATTGGAAAAATGACCTCGGGTGAGGATTAAAAAAAAAAAAAAAAAAAAGACTATATAATGCTGATGCCCCCTAACTAGATCACATTTTCTAGGTTACTCTTATAAGCGCCTTTCTACACTTAGTGTAATAATCAAAATTCAAGAAATTGTTGTTTATTGTACAAGTCAAAGTACTAAAGAAATGGTATCTCCTAAAATCAGCAGAATAAAATGGCTCTTAAGACTTCATGTCAGAAAACATACAAGTAACAAGACAATGTTACTAAGGGATTTCAGGTAAAATCTAAACTATTTTGAACATTATGTTTAAGTTCCCAATACAAAACTACACTCAAATAAATATTCAAGTAAACTGGTTAATCCATTTCTTGAACATTAACATCCTCATAAATTTTACTGTTAGAAAAATATTTTCAAATACCATATGATTTCACTTATATGTGGACTGTAAAGAAGAAAAAAAATGAAAAAAACTGAAACAGGTTCACAGATACAGAGAACAGACTGAGAGAAGGGGGTTTAGGGGACTGGATAAAAATGGTGAAAGGATTAAGTACAAATTGGTAATTAAAAAACAGTCACAGGGATGTGAAGTACAGCATAGGGAATATAGTCAGTAATACTGTAATAACTATGTATGGTGTCAGATATAAAGATCACTGTGTAAAATATATGACTGTTTAGCCACTATGCTATACAACAGAAACCAATAAAAAACACTGCAGTATGTACACTGTAATTAAGAGTATATTTAGCCCTGGTAGGTGTGGTTCAGTGGTTAGAGCATTGGTCAGTGCACCAAAGGGTATTGAGGTTCTATTCCAGTCAAGGGCACATACCTGGGCTGCAGTGTGGGGGGCAACCAATTGATGTCTGTCTCTCTCATCGATGTTTCTCTCTCTCTCTCCCTCCCTGCCTCCCTTCCACTCTCTCTAAAAATCAATTGAAAAATAAAAAGCCCTGGCCAGTTTGGCTCAGCAGTCAGAGTGTCGGCCTGCGGTCCAGAGAGACCTGGGTTCGGTTCCTGCTAAGGGCACGTACCTCAGTTGCAGTTTGTCCCCAGCCCTAGTTGGGTCGTGTGGATGGCAACCACTCGATGTGTCCCTTTCATGTCGATGTTTCTCTCTCTCCCTCCCTCCCACTCTATCTGAACAAAATATGGAAAAAATAAAATAAAATAAAGTAAAACAAAATAAAATAAAGTTTAGCCCAGCTGGGGTCAGTCAGTGGTTGAGCATGAACCCATGCATCAAGAGATTGCCAGTTTAATTCCTGGTCAGGGCACGTGCCCAAGTTGTGGGCCAAATCACCAGTGTGGGACATGCAGGAGGCAGCCAATCAATGTTCTCTCACATTGATTTTTCTCTCTCTCTCCCTCTCTCTCTCTAAAATCAATAAAGAAAAAAAAGGAAAATAAATAAAATTAACTTTAAACACAGAAAATAGTTTCGTATTCATACACTGCTGATAATGTACATAAGTACAAGTAAGAATTCCTTTATTCAAAAACTCTTAAGGCCATGTGTGTTTTGAATTGAGTTCTGATTTTTAAAAGGGCCCTGGCCGGTTTGGCTTAGCGGTAGAGCTTTGGCCTGCAAACCAGAGAGTCCGGGTTTGGTTCCTGCTAAGGGCACGTACCTTGGTTGTAGTCTGTCCCTGGGCCCGGTTGGGGTCGTGTGGGCAGCAGCCACTCGATGTGTCTCTCTCACATCAATGTTTCTCTCTCTCTCTTCCTCCCTCTTTCCCTCCCACTCTATCTGAAGCTAAGTGCGGGGGGGAAAAAAATGTCCTCGGGTGAGGATTATAAAAAAAACAGGGTCGCCCTGGCCGGTTTAGCTCAGCGGTTAGAGCGTCGGTCTGCAGTCCTGAGAGACCCGGGTTCGGTTCCCGCTAAGGGCACGTACCTCGGTTGCAGTTTGTCCCCGGCCCTGGTTGGGTCGTGTGGGTGGCAACCACTCGACGTGTCCCTTTCACGTCGATGTTTCTCTCTCTCGCTCTCCCTCCCACACTCTATCTGAACAAAAAATAGAAAGAAAGAAAAAAAAGCCCTCGGGTGAGGATAAAAAAAAAAAAAAACAGGGTCAACCTATTATTATTATATCCCTAGACAAGTCCCAATAATCAACCACATCAATATTTCTATAGTAATAAGATCGATCATATTCTGTGGACATAGTAAAGGTTTCACATGATCACAAAATATGTGCAGGTCAGTTTTTCCATCAAACTGACCCTTAAAAGATCCTACCACATAATGATACACTAAAAGACTTTGCTTCAACATCTTTTGGTCTTTGAAACTGCAACACTGACCTTGCTGAGGGCCAACTTGTAGTACGTAAGATCCTTTTAAATGTGAAAGTCCTTTTCCAGTAAACTAAATAGAAATATCTGCACATGTGTGCAAGGGTGTCTATGCACAGATATACACTGTGACAAAGGTTGAAGACACAATCAATTATAAGTGGGGTACAATTAAGGTTCCCTGATGCCAAGGAACACAATATAATTGTTACAAACACTAGATATGCATTTACAAACATGAAAGAATGTCTAAAGTACTTGTCACACACAAAAAAGCAAGTACAAGAATGGTACTCCTATTGCTGCTTTTAAATCATTTGTGTAAGCCCAGGCCAGTTTGGCTCAGAGGTTAGAGCATCGGCCATTGGATCAACGGGTTGCTCGCTCAATTCCAGGTCAAGGGCACGTTACCTGGGTTGTAGGTTCAATACCTGGACCCAAGTCAGGTTGGTAAGGATCATGCAGGAGGCAACCATCGATGTTTCTCTTTCACATCAATGTTTCTTTCTCTGTCACTTTCTCTCTACCCTTCTTCCTCCCTCCCTCCCACTATATCTAAAAATCCTTAGGTGAGGATTAACAACAACAACAAAATTATTTGTATGAGCACAGAAGAGAATATGAAAAAGTTTATATGCCCTGGTTGGTGTGGTTTAATTGCTTGGGCATCGGCCCATGCACCAAAAGGTTGTTGGTTTGATTCCCCTTCAGGGCACATGCCTGGGGAGAGAGCTTGGTAGGGGGCATGCCGGAGGTAGCTGATCATGTTCCACTCTCACATGGATGTTTCTCTCCCTCTCCCTTCCCACTCTGTCTAAAAAACAACAACAAAAAAAGAAAAAATATTTTAAATCACACTGGGAAAATCTGGGGAACAGGAACACTGCCCTTTTTATTTGTTTATTTATCCTTACCTGTGGATATGTTTTTATTGATTTTAGAGAAAGAGGTAGGGAGGGAGGGTGGGAAAGATAGAGAAAGAAACAAATTAATTGCCTCCTGAAAGCACCCAACCGGATATCAATCCTTCAACCCAAGTATGTGCTCTGACAGGAATCAAACTAGCAATCATTCAGTGCACGCACAGGATTATGCTCCAACTAAATGAGCCATACAGTCCAGGGCTTGCCCTTTTTATTTTATACACATATATGTAGTACGTGAATTTCATAACATGCATTGTAACAATTTTAAATAAAAACCAGATAAAGTATTTTAAACAAAATTTAGAATGTACTTCTCTCAATGTTAAAAAAATTTTTCTGCTACAATGTGAGAACAGACTTACAAATCATGAAAAAAAATATAATAAAAATGCAAAATCACTTTAAACATTTTCTATATTTTCCTTCCGTTCCTTTGTCCATAAAGTTTCTTTTTTATTTTGAACTAAGTCGTGATTATAACACACTGACAAGTACATAATCTAAATTCAGACTGTACACATGAACATTCCCTATTGTACATGTTTGTTTTCCATTTTTTCTATTCCACAGATGTTTTAATAATCATTTTTATATTTCTACCTAATGTCTCTTTCAGATCTAGAACAACTTCCTAGGTTATATCACAAATGGAACTAATAAGTAAATGTGAC